ATTCGCGAGATGCTGGCGGGCTTGAGTAAGGACCAGGGACTCCCAGTGCATGCATTGTGCACATGAGTGGAGTGCATTGGGCCGGCAACGGTACCCGCATGCCCAATCACGATTGACAACTCGGCCCCTTTTCGTTCCACTTTTGTTCTTCGCAAGCTTGGGCGGGATGGTCTTGGACAGCCCATCAATGCAAAGGGCGAGATGCTCAACGTCAGAAGTTAGTCCCTGTTATGTTATGTTCCAAAGTTCTTGAAATATGCGTGTCCCATAGCATGACTGAGTCAAGTGGTGACGCGAAAGTCCTACTCGTAAGGCAGTCCGTTGCACGCCGTCACCCGCAGCTCCAGCCAGTGGAGGCCCTGTCCATGAGGGGCTGTTGCTGATTGTTACCGCCTCAAACCTGACTTAGCCGTCGTATCAGTTCGTTAGCTACACGCGGGCGGCGGCGGCAAGTACGGAATGCACATAGTAATTACCTGAGAGGCTATGTGAATACACTCAATCGCGCTATATCTGCGTTCCCTAGCCGGCTATCGATGTGCTTTGTTGTTAAGGACATACCGCATTAGCATAAGGTTGGGTATTGGAGAGAACCGTTGTCGGTAGAGTCCTATTTGTGTGCTCATGAACCTGTGGTGCACTACACCTTCTCCGTGAAGTCGTTGACCAGGGCGGCATCAAGACAGGCAAGCCGCGTGTGTCCCAAAGCGTCCACGTTGGATCGGGGAGATGCCATAGTAGGGTTTCGGTCCATCGAAGGGTGGGCCGAAATGCTCCCCAATGCCGACGTGAACAGGGGAATGACCGACTCTCCTGGCTTGGAACGCGAACCTAGATCATGGCTTGACTGTTACCTAGAGACCGCCGAGGAGAAGTATGCGCCTTTTTCCAAGGTTAGTACGCGCCTGGTTATCTCAGAAAAAGTAGCAAATATCGGCAAGCGCATAAAGGGTATCTTTACGTACATATCAACGAGCAGAGAGAATAGTAATTAAGCCAGATGCTGGTTACGCTGTACTCACTGAGATACTGAAGATGCTGATAATGTTGAAAGTGAGAAAAGTGACAGCCCGCCCCCCGTAACCTCCTCAACATATGCTGAACGCTGTAGAGGAAGTAACAGTCAATGTTCTCATAACCTATCGTGTTCACAAGATAACATATCGTGTCGATTTATGAGTCCTTTGTTATTGTAACTGAAGGGAGCCGATGCTGCTGCTGCTGTTCCCAATAAGAAGGGACCGCAGGTAGATGTGCTCTTTCAACCCATCGCTGACTATGGAGTCGGGTTGGCAGTTCCCTCAGC